ACTTCCCCAGTTCCATGAGACTCTCAAAACCACTGCTCAGTTTCTCTATTTCCTAGTAGCTATTTTCTATTAGGCTTCCCTCGGCATCTTGCACGGTGTCCAGCTTTCAGTGGTACACAGTGTCTACTGGACGTGTGAGTGAATACACAAATAAATGAATGAACGACATGAATGCCTGGTGCGGAACAGGAGGCTCTCTGAGCAACAGCCTCAGTCATCACACTCTCACTGTGTATTTCACCAGGTGATCTCCCCAGAAATCTAGGCTGTAGCCAAGTAGAATAAAGCCTATGGCCATCCTAGTCTTTTAACTCAAAAAATATTCGCAGGGGATACCCTGATGACGGAGCCTCTGCGCTTGACGCTATAAGGTACAAGGACAGATAAAACCTTGTCTCAGCCCTCCAAATTGCCATCTCCTTTGGGGCTAGGTACACAAATAAACATAACCTAGGGCTAGAATCAGTGAATGAATGAATGAATGAATGAATGATACAGAGAAGCGGGGCGGTGATGGATTTAAGACTAGAAAATATAGTTGTGAGGAGGGCAATTCTAGGAAGACAACAGCCTGAGTGAAGGTGTGAAAGAGGAAATAGAAAGGGCACAGCATGTAGCTTAATGACCCTGGAGCACAAGGGTGTATAGGAGAGTTTGAGGCAACACTGGTAAAGCCAGGTCCACGATGTGAAGGGACCTAAGTGTGCATCCAAAGTGTCTGCTCTCACCTCCTAAGGCAGTTGGGAGCCACTGAAGGATTCTGAGCAGGAAAGTAATATGTTTGGCTCTGGAGTGAAAAAGATCAGCCCGAAAGACTGTGTCGGATGCTTCAGGAAGATAAGACATGGGGGTGAGGTGTCTGTCTTCCGCTTGGCTGACCTCCCTCCCAGCCAGAACCAACCCCCCAGAGCCTGGAGAACACCCTTCTGCTCTACTTCTGAGGTGCCTGAAGGCCGCAGACGTCATCCTGCCAAGAACAAACAGTGGCTGCTTGGATCAGTAAGTCCACTTGGAAACCTTGTTTCTCCATCAAAATGGCCTGGCTTTTCCCCCAGACACACTCCTAGCCGTTCATCATCAGCATGCCAGGCATTCACTCAAGACATCCCGCCTCAAGCCTTTTTCTGTTCCAATGCTCATCTTAAAGAACCCAAGCCCTCTACTCCCTCCCTCCCCTAGTGTGGGCATGTTGTTAGCTGGTTCTACATGCGCTTGGGGTCCCTGTCAGGCTTTGACTCTGGAAATAGACTGTCGGTCCCTCAGGGGACTGGGTGTGTGAATTGCACTTAAGAATTGCTCAGTACACTGGAGGGATTCTATCTCAGTTACTTTCCTTTTTCCTTTTATTGATAATTTTAAACTGTTATTTTCTATTTAAAAGTCAAAAATTTAGAAAAAATAAAAAGATGACAAAAATAGAAATGAGGAAAAAATAGCCCATAATCTCACCCATGTCTACAGCTATCAATAACATTTAGATAAACATTTTTTTCTAGAATCTAGACATAATTTTTTCTTCTTTCTTTACAAATATATTTGTAATCATACTCTATATACACTTAAATACCCTATTTTTTTTTCTGTTGGCAGTATATTGCAATGCTTTTTCTACTTATTTCATATTCTTTTAAGACTCTGTTTAGGATAAGCATGGAGTTGTCAGGAGGACGAACTGTAAGTCAGGGAATCAAAGATCAGATATGATCTTTGTCCTCAAGTAACTAAAAACCTAATGTGTAGCACACTGGCTTTTAGGACTGCTTTCAAATCCTAACTCCATCATATACAATCTGGATGATCTGGGACAAGATATTTAATTTTTCCGAGTCTCAGTTTCCTCCATAAATGGAGACTGTGAGACAGGGCAGAGCCATTCAAGAAGTAACACAGCAATTAACACCAAGGTGGTGGAAAATTCAATTCCCAACAGACCTTAAGGCCCAAGATGGCGGGAGATTCGACTTCTAGTAAACCTTGAGCTTCATTATACACTCATTGTGATACACTGACATGGTGAATGACACACCCACAGGCACCACAGCAGTCCCCAGGCCGACCATAAAAGGTCAAAAAGGGGGCAGTGGCCCAATTCCTGGGAATCCCCACCCCTTCCCCAAAGAAGCTGGAATAATCCCCCCACTTGTTAGTATCTGAAGTTACCGAGCCCATAAAAACTAACAACCCCGCACCTCATGGCCGTGCTCCCTACTGCCTGAGATGGCCTGCACTCTGTCTACGAAGTGTGTGTCTCTCTGAATAAATAAATCTACTCTTACTCACCTATGACTCGCTCTTGCATCCTTTCCTGCACGAAGCCAAGGGCCCTCCCTTGGTGGGGTGCATCCCAGGGATGGACAGAGACCTGGGACATGCACAGCCATCCTCTTGCCCCATTTTTTCTTCTGTCAAAACCATTCACCTCCCAGTCCAAACTGGAGAAAGAGCCTCTGCTTTGTTCTGAACAGGGCCTGCTCAACTCCAGGTTACTGGGTCTGGGTGAGATAACACCACGGGACAGAGGTCCTGGGGTCTACAGCTCTGGGCCCCTGAGGCTCAGCAGTGAATGACCGAGGGCCCCGGACAATCAGCACAGCCAAGGGCAGGAACGGCCATTAAGACCCAGGGTCAGAGGTGCCTGGGGCCCCTCAGCTCTGTGAGCAAGTGCTCATCTGAATGGAGGGAAACTGCTCAAACACCTGAGAGCCCTGGGCCACCAATAAGGCCCCAGCCCCCCTGCACGTGACAGAAGCCAGTTAGAGGACAAGTTAGAGATACTTAAGAGACGACTAAGTGGGAAGAAGCCGTCATAAGCCTTTAAGTGAGACGCTTAACACTGCTACCACGGACCCGAGGGTCTGTAACAGCACCAGGGAGATACCACAAAGCAGTTTGGTGAGTCTTTCTGAAACCAGGGGGGATAACGGGGGAGAAAGAATGTAATAATCACAAGGCCGTGACATCAAGGCACACTACAGCTCTCAGCTCGTGCTAATGTCAAAAGGCAGCGGTTCATGAAGTGTCACATAATCTCCTCAGGACACTAAAATCCCCCAAAATAATTCCTTCTTGGGAATAAAGTCTTTCCTACTGTCCCGAGGCAGAACGCACTGCCCTTCCAGGACGCTGTGACTATAGACCACTTCTTATATCTGCTCACGGCTTTTGTACTGTCATATCGTTTGTTGTCCACATTTGTTTCACTCAGATGGTGAACCCAGGGGGTGGGTGACAGAGGCTCAGAGGAGGGCCTCTTGCCACTGACTGATGCACGACAAACACGCAGCAAAGGTTTGTAAATGAATGACGAATGAGTAAAGAAGTGAACACACAAGAGTGAACTGATGGGTGTAAAAATGGCAGAGAACTTCCTGTAGGTGAAAGCGAACCACGCAGCCCAGGACGTCAGCTGGTGCTTTAAGACGATGTGGAACTGCTTGAGATGCCACCTTACCTTTCTCAGCCTGGTGCCCGTGAGTGACTCTCCGAAAAAACTCTGCCGCATCCCCAGATCGCCCCTCCCTAGCTGGGCTCCAGAAAAACAGAGTCCTCTGCAAATGCATTTACTGATGTGATGTGCTTTGGGACCCAAGGACATGGTTGGAGGGACATCAGAAATAAACAGGAGGTCGGCGAGGAAAGGGATGGAGACTGCACAAACGTTCCTGTACGTACAAGACTCACCAGGTGGCATGACAGCCTGCTTTTCAGGCCTCCCTCTGCAGGGAGGATAATGGACCAGCACAAGAGTCCTGTCTCCCATGGGCACCCTGACACCCTCTACACATGCCATCACTGGCTGGGAGCAGCTCCCAGGTGGGCTGGCCTTGGAATGAGGGCAGAGGTGGATTTCAGAGCAGCACCTGATGGCTTTGTGGAACCTTCTTTGGATGGCCTGGCATTCCAGGACCCGCTACCTCTCTCCCTCCCTCTTTACTTATGGTCGGACTTGCACTGTGGTCTGTCAGCTCTCCCCGACTTCCTCCCCATGCTCCAACACAGGCATTTCTCCTAGTAAAACCCTCGCACACTTAATCCTGGTGTGCTGTCCGATTCCTAGATTATTTGGACTAACACACAGAGTGACCTCAGACAAGTTACTTCATCTTTTAATCTGTTTCCTTACCTGTAAAACAGGGTTAATAACACCTGTCCCACAGGTGTTGTAAGAATGACTGTGATCGTGCATGCGAAGCTCTCAACCCTGTCCCCACAAATGTAGGTGCTTAAGAAATGTTTCGTTTCTTCCCTCTCAAGTCTTCTCTTTTCCTTTGAAATGTTCCTAGCAGTGGGGATAGTCATATTTACCCGTGCACCTGTGACCTGGGGCATTTGGGAACCAATGGACACTTGGCGTAATAAAATTGTCCCGTTTTAATTACAGACCCTCCCCCATCTCATGAACTGCTTCTCAATTTGGGGGATGTCTCACTTCGCAGACCTCTCTGAAATCTTTGATCTGTTTAATAATGTGAGTTGAAAGGGGAAAAACAGCTGCAAGGAGAAACCTTGTTCCACTTCATGTTTGAACGCTATTCCTCCTTCAGTATGGCCGAGCCAAGCCCTTTACCTTGTCATCCAGTTTCCGCGCGTGGAATGCGAGCTCCACGTAGTCATCGTTGCCGGACAGTTCTTCAGCGATCACCTAAAGGAGAGTGCACACGTCAGGGCAGGAGCGGCTGGACCCGCGGCCCAGGGGTTCATGAACGAACTCAGCTGCTGTCTGACTCCCAAATCATCAGAGACTGACACCTGGCACGGAGTCCCCTCAACCCCAGTGACACGGCAGTGTTTCCGGGTGTACAGGGAACTCCCTGCAACAGACAACAGACGGGACTGGATTTCATTTATGCTGTGCGTGAGAACACGAGGGGAGGGGTGTAGGATGGAGGAAGGGCCCTGGAGCAGCGGTTAGGAAGAGCTTCTTCCTTTAAAGGTCACACAGCGTGAACAGCACATCCATACAAAATTACATACATTTTTTCCTTTGGGAAGTTACAAAGAAGGAGCAGGCAGCAACCTTTCTCCACTCTTGAGAATCAAGAACCAACAAGGGATGGGAACCAAACTGCTATGTTGTTTCCAGACCGATGTTTACAAGGGTCAGCAAAGAAATGCTCTAATTCCTGTTTCAAAAAAGTCTGCCCCTGTGCTTTCCGAGATGGAGGGGAGAGAGAGACAGAGACTGGTCTCGAGAGAGAATAAGAATCTAAACCCTTAACCCCCAAGAACAGAGAACTCCTGACAAGGCTCTCGGTATTAGTGAAGAGATTAGTGAGTAGCTAGGAGCCTCTTTCATAAACGATCACATCCCCATATTTAATAGTGACCCTCAAAGCCTTGGAGCAAAAATTGGTGGAGAAAGAAATTAGGAGGCAAACAGTAACAACAAAAATCCTGACACCAGTCTCGTCACATACGGGTTAAGCCACTTCTAAATAACGTCACACCTTCACCACGGACTCAGAGGCCGCAGCACGTGCACACTCTTATCAAAGCTGTTATGCAGAGATACTGAGCTCTAATTCAATCTCGTATCCACTCTGGGCTCAACATCCCCATTATGAGTTGAGTTCATCTGTTCTGAGTACACACTGGTGGCCTTGGGAGATTTTTATTTCATGTGTGATCTTAAAGCTGTCTTAAAGGTTGTCTAAAAAGGGAAAGACCCCTCCATAAGTGTGGAGGGTAGGAGGCATGGGTCCAGACACATAGTGAAAACTCAAGAACTACTTGATAAGCCAGGAACCTTCCCATTCAGAGTTTTCATTCCTTTCTCATTTGTTCCTGATCAACTGCAATGCCTCTTACATGCCTCTTGAGCCAAGATCTTTGTTTTGGGGTCAAAGACACCTTTGGAAAGATGAAAGTTTTAGTCTCCATCTGCAAAGTCTCGAAAACTTTGCACCTGTTTTCAAGCGTTTTCCAGAAATTATTGAAGCCATTTTTCTGATCCAAGGACCCAGGAGTAAAAGAAGGATTTAAATATTTAAAATTAAGAAGGAGATCAAATTTTTCTGGGCTGCGTGGACGAAGAAAATCTCCAAGACATCTTAGAGAAAAGGTGGCAAGATGAGCTTCTGTCCTCCTGGGGAAGAACCAAGGAAAATCGCAGACCTGGTTCACTGTCCCAAGGCTCATCTGGGATTGTAGGCTCTGGGAGCAAGCCCGTGGGTTCATGACTTTTAGAGCAGCAGTGGGGTCTCCACAGACCATTTGAACCATCTGCTCATGACTGAACACGGTAGGCAAGGTGAAGCTTGGACATGATGTGTCATTTAAAACATTCAAGCCAACAAACTCAGGGAAGTTCTTCTAAGAATGGTCACAGCTTTCAGCAGTGGAAATGAGACTCCTGAATTTTTCCTTTAAAAATGGCTTAATTTTTTTTTTAATGAATCAGTCACTCTCAAGTTAAAAAGGAATGTTCAAAGAACTCAGGAGGTTTGCCTCGCAAGCAGTTCAGATGCTCCTGGTACTTTTTTCTACCCACTACTACTATTATTATCATTTTTGTCCACACAGCTAAATGATTAGACTACTTTATCTTTCTCAAGGGCTCTAATACAAGATGCCAAAGTTTCAGATACTGGAGTTCTACTTGAAAATTTAATATTTTATTTAGAAATACTTCCAGTATTGCTCAATAGAACATTCTGCAATGACAGAGCTATTCTGTAATCTGCACTGCCCAATAAAGTAGCTGCTAGCCACAAGGAACTACAGAGCACTTGATACTGGTTAAGAGTAAGAAATGGCTAGTTGCTTTTATTTAATTTAAATAATTTTATTTAAGTTTAAATAATCACATGGCTACTAAAAAGAACAGCACAGCTCCAAACATATTAAAGAGGAGTTAAATGCTTGGCTCTCTAATCCTGAGGCAACAGACCAAACCTCAGACTAAATGCTATTAGAGCACATTTTTTTTCTCTAACAAAAAAAAAAGAAAAGCGGGGATATGTAGCTTTAATTATTTGAAAATTCCAGACAATTCCATATTCTTATTGTGCTCAGTAACTCCATCTCTGTCCCCTGCTAAAAATGATATTTCATTGCAGAAGTGCTTAGTTGAAGTGAGTAGCCTCACTTTCCAATCCTTCTGCTGGGATGGAAGGTCAAAATCGTGTGGTCAGGAAGGAGAAAGCTGGAAACAAGAAGGGGTGACTCAGACAGCTGAGCAGCTGTGGAATCGCCTCCCCGGCGCCGGGCCGGGCCAGCCAGCACCATCCGGCCGACGGGCTTACCGTCATGGAGGACTTCCCGGCCGTGTTCCCGTGCTTCAGCAGGGATTTGGACAGCTTCCTCTGGGAAACAATCTGCACAAAAGGAGACACAAGGTGGGGATATCCGTCACAGACCTGCAGGTGTGCTTTCTAACATCCCCTACAAATCCCGGCACTGACAGCTCTGCTGGAGATTAAGACATCTATGTTTATTTCCCGAGGTTCTTCCACACACCGCCTCTAAATGCAGGTACCCCTTCCCTCCTCTATCGCATGTGACGTGTAAGAGTGTGGGGGCCATTACAGATAACTCAGTCAATGAGGAGGTGGCTTAATTGCTGCTAAAACACTTACATTAAAATGAGCTGGAACATATTGGATATGGACATAAAGTAGATGAAGTTTCAGAATGACCTCAAATTAGCACTAAAAGTTCTGTGTACTGTGGGGGGTGGGGGGCAGGGAGGGAAAGAAACTCAAGGTCCAAATAGACAGCTTCTGTATCCATACTCTCCAGAGTCCTATTTTAAATATATTCATTAGGAAGCTGTGAAGTCAGTGATCAGGAAACGGATGCTGAGACAAGCCAACAGGAGTAATGGGGTCCTCTCCATGATTCAGGGTCAATGCGCAACGAGCACTGATACTAAAATCATCATTACACTGGGAGCTATTCTGACCAGAATCTGCCCACCCACCTTGTTTTCTTTCCTGAAAGAGAAGAGTGGCAAGGCACCAAGGCCCTGACGGACGAGCACCCACAATTCCCAAAGCAGACAGGGCTTGAAAGAACCAAGTGAAAGCTGTGCTCTGACTGAGGACAAAGTCCCCTGTTGCAATCAGTGGCTTCTGCCTAAAATGGCCCCAGGGATCCTCAATTCTTGATATTCACACCATTGGTAATTCCCTCCTCTTGAGTGTGGGATGGATCCAGTGACTGGCGTCCAGTGAACAGGATACCACACAAGCGATGGGATGTCACTTCTGAGATTAGGTCACGACATCTCTGTGACTTCCCTCTTGTTCACTGTCTCTCATTGCCTCCTTCCCAGAGTCTCTGCACTGGAGAAGCAGGCTGTGAACAGCCATGGAGAACAGCCCACATGGCATGGAAGTGAGGTCTCCAGTCCACGGAGGGGAGAACCAGAGGCCTGCCCACAGCCACATGCATGAGCCTGGAAGCAGGTGCTCCTCCAGGTTGAGTCTTGAGAGAATGGCAACTTGACTGCAGGCCCGTAAGAGACCCCAACCCAGAGGACCTGGCCACGCTGCCCGATCCCTGACGCACAGAAACCGTGATATAATCAATGTGGCTTTTTTTAAGATTTCAAGTTTTGGGGTAATTTTTTAATGCAGCAATAGGTAAAAATGCACATAAGATAGGGAAGGCGATCTCTGCAAAAAGTCAGGATGTGAACCCATTCTCTGAAATCCTTCTAGCCTTTTCTCTGTATTAGAGCAATAAAAATATTAGAAGCGTGCTGATATCAAACACAAAAAGTTCAGGGAACTTCGCTAGACCAACCAGATTTAAAGACCATGATGTTCAGTCTGCTATATTCTGAAGAGGAAGGGGCATTTCTGTGAAAATCACCAGGCGATGATGACAATGATGATGATGACGATGATGACGAATATGATGGAGATGACGGTGGCGGTGGTGATGCTGCTGACAGTGCCAATGACGGAGAAGATGGTAGTGATGGTGAAGATGGTGATAACGATGACGGTGATGATGATGACAGTGATGGTGACAACATTAATGACAGCAATGGAAGCACCCATGGAAGTACAGGTAGTATGTGGCAGATGCATTATTCACTCTACAAATAATTATTTACCTCCACTGTATGACAAACCTGGCACCAGGCACTAAGCAGAGTCAGATGCAACATCTGACCCCTGGAGCTGAATTTTTAGTGGAGGAGACAGGAATTCATCAAACAGTCAAATAAACGAATGTAACTCATCACAAAGGAGAGACACACCAGCCATGGTGGGGATGGTGAATGGACAGATGGCAGGTAATGAGTAGACTGTAGTCCAGGTGGGAGGGGATAGTGGCCGTGGAGATGGAGACAAGTGACCAGATTCTGAGATGCTCAGGTACAAGACAGTAAGCACTTGGACATGGACTAACCATGGTGAGAGCTGGAGGCATCATAAACACATCACTGGATCGGACAGTCCCACCATGCAGTAAGCTGAGTCACAGGAAGAGGACATGACATTGGAGGGCAAAGAACAAACTACAGGGCAGAAAGCAGACCAGAGTAGGTTGAAGGGGAGAGGACAAGGGAAGGAAATGTTAGAAGCATGTGAAGACACAGTTCTTTCAAAAAGTTTGGCTCTGAAGTGGGGAAGAGAGAACAGACTCTGAAGGGAAGAGGAAATTTGGTATGGTTTTGGTTTTATCGGTCTCTTTGTTGCTAATTTTACAGCCCACAAGTTTGGTCTGATTAATCTCCTTTTGTAGATGAGGAAAACTGGACATGGAGGGTTTCAGTAACTTCCCCAAGACCACAGAGCGAAGAAGGAATGTGTCAGGGATTTGAACACAGGTCTGACTCCAGAAACCAGTTACACTATGACTAGTAAGCAAACTCATAAAATAGATTTAGAAAATGTTCACACATGGATGTTCACCATATGTGTTTGCTTTTAAGCCCTCCATCTCATGTTAGTGTGCTCAACCTGCAACATGTAAATGCGGAGAAAATGATAAAGAAGTCATCAAGTTAAGAAGAAAGTAAGACCTTAAGGATGAAGTAATCTGAAGACACTGGCTTTGGTTAAGGGCAGAGGAGCATAACAATTAAGAATGCAGGGCTTTTTTTTTAAATTTATAGTTGACTATCAATAAAATGACATGAAAAACTTCAGATGATAAAGGAATTAGCATTCCTTCCCATAGTTCATTCTGAATCCAAACTCCTTACCTGTTCCACCCTACTTATTAAGAATGTTCCAATGGTTTCAGTCCTTAGACAAAATCATCATTCCTTCCCCTCCCCATTCCCACACTGTCACTTGTTCTGGAAAAGCTACCACTTCCTAGAACAATGTAGAGATTATTTTTTTTAATTAAAGCATAGTCAATTTACAGTGTTGTGTCAATTTCTTGTGTACAGCATAATGTTTCACTCATATGTACGCATACACATATTCCTTTCATATTCTTTTTCATTATAGGTTACTACAAGATACTGAAAGTAGTTCCCTGTGCTGTACAGTAGAAACTTGTTGTTTATCTATTTTATGTATAGTAGTTTGTATCTGCGAATCCCAAACTCCCGATTTATCCCTTCCTAACCCCTTTCCTCCCTGGTAACCTTAAGTTTGTTTTCTATGTCTGTGAGCCTGTTTCTGTTTTGTAAATAAGTTCATTTATAGATGTTATTTTTTAACTTGGGATGAACCAAAACACAGAAACACGGAAGACAAACAGCAAGAGGACATTAGGAAGACTCTGTGGTTTCTCTCTAGGGGTTTTTCAGCAACGGCGTTGGGAAAACACGTGAATAAACGACAAAACAAGATCCCGAGAAGCAGTAGCCAGGCCGACATCTGACTAAAGAAAGGCAACCTTATGCCCTGTTTCCCAAATCAATCTGGTCTCAGGAATACTTTTGCCCAATGTCATTGCGTTTCTTCCACACTGGTCACCTATTTCCATTGCTCTGAGTGACCCCCATACCCTCTCAGCACTGGGGTGACCTATGCCTTGGGTTACTAGGTGTGGGGAGACCATCTTTACAGACTGTCTTCCAAGACCCACATTCTCTTTCTTCAAGGAAGAACAAGGGGGACTCAACCCATGGGAACCTGGATGGTCACAGCTCTCTCCTCACTGCTGACTTATTTAGAAATGCCAACATTTCCATTTGTAGGGTCTGAAGAGAATGCTACCATGTACAACCTCTGCTTTTTACAAAGCTCAGAAGATAAGCAATTTCTTCGGAAACATTCCTTCCCAAGAAACGGGCATTTGAGGAGACAAGTGATTAATGAAGCAGGCATGCAAACGAACTTATTTGACAGCCCCATGCTTCCAGTCAGCCCCGAAGAATGAGTAATAATTAGGGTGTCCACCTGTCACTGTAATAATGATGACAGAGACTAGCTGTCGGCCCTGCCATGCTGAGGACAGTGGGCAGGGACAGGAGGACACCAGCTGGAGTGCTGATGGACAGAGCAAAGCCCACTGATGCAATCCCACCGCTCATCACGCTTTGATGCAGCGGAAGCAACTGCACTAGGCTCAAAAAGGCCCTGGGTCTCATCGGAGGAGGGAGTTAGAGTGACAAGGACCCACCCTGGTCCCAGCTGACATCTGAGGCCAACAAACAGGCAGCTCTGATGGCTCTGGGTGGAAGTCCTCTAACTGTATCCTTCTCACCCTATAGTGGGGTCATCTTCCAACAGAAGGGTGGATGCAGGGGAGGAATCACTCTTTTAGCAAAGTCGGACCAGGGGGACATGAGTACCCTTAAATCCTTGATCTGCACTCACACATGGATCTGGGGAGGACATGCGACTTTCCCCTGAATGGACCGTGTTTGAACTGCAGGGAACCACATTTTCCAGGAAAGTCCATTGTTCCATTTAAATGAATGGGAACAAAGCCAGAATAAAACACACTTTGGCCTATATTTCAGCAAGTGTATGTTCAGCTGAACTTGCTTACAAAGTCTTTCAAAACAGTCACTTTGGGGACTAGACAGTTGTCATGAGATCTTGTTGCTGGTAGACGTAACCAGTGTCCAGGTCTTTGTCCTGTTCCAGAAAGAATTCAGAGTCAATACATGGAGATCAAGAAAGTAAAGTGAGGACTTATTAAGGGATGGATAGCACACTCTCAAGGGGAGAGCGGGCAGGCTCAGGTGAGTGGATGCCCCGAGTTTCTTTGACAAGTTGGTTACACAAGGTGTAATGGGTGGAAAATTAATGGGTGGAATATTCATTGGGGAAGGAGGTGTTTGAGATCATATTCCCTGATTTTCAGCTCAGCTCCACCTTCCCAAAAGGAGGAGGGATTTTTGTCCTTATTTAGTCTGGATGGGAAATGTCTTGGCACCAATGCATGAAGAGTA